TACAACAGCCACAGAACTGTCTCATAACTAACGCTGAAGTCTTCGTTCAAATGTTTGCTTACTGCCTGTTATTTGTTGTTTCGCTGGTTGGCAACACGCTTATCGGTATAGTTGTTTACAAAACACAACGCACGAGGAAGTCAATTCATCGTAAACATGGCCACGTCTGATCTGCTGTTTCCCATTTTCCGATTCCCTCACAATGTAAGAAAATTGTTTGCGAACTCCTGGTTGATCAGTGGTTCTTTTGGTCAGGCCTTGTATAAGCTGCTTTTCTTCTTGCCTGCTGTCTCGGGGGCTGTGTCTATTCAAAGTATGGTTCTGATAGCAGTGGATCGTTTTGGAGCTGTGTTATTTCCTCTTCGATCACCTCTCATCAGTTTAGAACCCAGCTTTTTTCTTATTTTAGTCTCTTGGATCATTGCAATGGCTGGGATCGCCCCATTTGTTTTGGAGCCAAAACTTTTTTAAGACTTCGCTGGAAAGCAAACCTCTGCAATTCTTGTGAATGAAGCCTTTAGGATGTGTATGACGTCAGTTTTCAGTACCCTATTTTATGTGGCTCTTATTTTGGTTGCCATGCATGCCGGCTCTATAGCACTATGTATCTTAAGATTGAATCACTGAGTATACCAGGAATACGATCTGTTAACACAGAAAAACAGCGACTCTAGAGGCAGAAAGACTTGCTCAAGTTGGTCCTTGCCATTGTGTTAACCTTCACACTTCGCTTGCTGCCATACAAACATTTCCTGACTGCTTATCAATTTCCAAAATTTTGCTTTATCTTCATGTTATTTTAGAATTTTCTACTCCATTGCATTTTCTTTGACCATTTTCATCTGTGCAATAAATCCTGTCATATGCTTCTTTTTCAGTGGAAATTATTGTCAAGGACTTAAAAATCTTGTCACAGGTGCCGCCCCAGAACTCAAAGCCAATCAGATTGCAACGTACAATTCACATTCGTATTTAAATACAGTGGCTCGGAAGTAGGTTTACTGCAATTATTAGGCACAATTATTATATCTGTTGTATGAAGTTGCACTTGAAGTATCAACTGATGTTTGATAAACACGGCTAAATGCTAAGCGAAGCATAGTTACCAGTTATGCTTTTCATGACATCGGCCTGAGTCAAGTCTACGTTAAACAAAGATTTGAAGTATACTGAACATGAAATATTTTTTACATCTTTCAAGACAAAAAAAAAACATGAAAAAAAAAATGATCTCAACTTACATAGCTGCTTTCTGCCTAAACTCTGCATAATTGAATTCATATGAAATCAACCTCTATCAAAGGATAAAACTTCACGAACAATTCAGTGTTAAACCTCTCTAAAGCTTTCATACGTCAACTTCAAGTCAACTGATTGTCCCACGAAGCAAATAATTGAAGAACCTTATGTAGTGGTAAACCTTCCTGACAAATTTATTGAAAAGGGAGTGACAGTAAATGTGAGGTGAGACTTTAATGATATATGTCAAGCCAGTTTAAAAATTATTCATGGAAATAAGTTTTGGAAGACGTTTTCCACAACGAAAAAGATAACAAGGCAATATCGCACGCATTTCCAGAGACTCGCGGCATTTGAGTAACAAGAAGAGGTCCAAAGAGGTAATGATGACCAAACTAAGACAGCTATAATTGTTTAAGTTCTCCAGACAATTTCTAATCATGGGAACGAAAGAGCAACTCTATATTTCCATACACCCATTTCACCTGTTTCTTGTATCTTCAGTCTCCTTGGAGCTGTTGCACAAGTTTTGGCTCATTTTAGTTGCGCTCTAAATCCATGCGTATGCTTCTTTTTCGGTAGAAATTATCGTAAGGGGCTGAAGAGCTTTATCAGATGTGCTACCCAAGAATTTGGAGGAATCAGTCCGCCCCGTAGCAGTGAGGTTCATATTTAAATACAGTGTGTAGAAAATTGGCAAACTAAGACACATTTAAAGAATCCGTCTCTTGAAGTTGAATCGAAGGATGACTTAAGTACGAATAGATTATTGCTCCTTTACATTTGAAATCCCGGCTTAAGGCTGATTGAACTCAAATTGTCAGTGGTATTGTTCATGGCACTGGCCTTCTGGTCGAACGTTTCTTTGCAATTCAAAGGAAAAGAAACTCTTTGTCAAACATATGAAACTAAAGCAGAAGAGATTGAAACCAACTAAATATATTGTTGTTTTCGATATCATTTAAGTTCTCAGAGAGTTGTTTCCGAACACTCCTAAATGCTGCCATATCACTAACTGTAACGCTTTTATTCAGCCAATCAAACCATGAGAAGGCGGGGGATCAAGGGGAAAATTGATTTCTCCAGTTAACAAGTTTATGACGTCAATCGTTTGCCCTCCTAAAGCAAATGATAAAGAGCGCTTCGTATCCCTTTCGTGACATGTAAGATGGTATTTTGCAAAGTTCACTGGACGGAAATTACCTTACCTCGTTTTTAGTACTCGGGAAAAAGTGATACACCTCTGAAACTAATTTATCCAGGCGAGAAGGTGAATATGAAGTGGGCTTTAATTAATCAATAGCTGTATCCCAGTCCTTTTCTCTGTAGTTATGAAGAAAATTAGCAATCGACAGATTCTTCCACCGCGCAGGGGACAATGTTGGAATCTACCATTACTTTCATTTCTGAGCATGATAAAATAAAATTCATGCGAAGTTTTCAAAAGCCTTTCAAAGAAACATCAAGCTTTCCAATTCAAGTCCGCCCGCAATTCCTGTCCGTGAGGAGGCAAAGAATTTTATTTACCTTGTAGAAGTCAATTCTCCTCTTCTGATGCGTAAAGTCGGATGTTAATAAAATGTAACGGCTTATTCAATTCTGCTCATCGGACATAAGATAATTCTAGCACTCTTCAGGGAAAAGGATAAATAACAAGCAATTAATAAGTCTTCTCTCAAGCGTCAGAAGCTACATGACAGAAATAAATTACTATTAGATTGGTGTCTGAGAAGTTATCTCGTGGGAAGAAGAATAACTTCCCGTGCTATAAGGTACATGAGAAAAAACTATCTGCAGTTGAACCTGTACTGTATTAAGTGGTCCTCAATAAGGGGGTATTGTGAAAAACCATATAAAGCGCCATTTTGCTTTACATTTGAATGAATAAAAACTCGCTCAGAAATACTATCAGCATTGATTTCGGGAGATGGATTAGACTTAAAAGTTTGTCGTTAGATTTATTTGAGTGTTTCC